TTGGAGAAGTTCAGAATTGAATATCTCATAGTGTTGGATTTCTCCACATAACATAAAGGATGGTATTGGAGAATGGATACACATGAAGATGAAGTGGAAGAGTAGTCCCAAATGAAACCCAAACACTAAATGATTTTTTTTGCCAAAGTGCAGAGCCAACTCAATAAGAAATAACAGTCTTCTCAGAAAAAGCTGCTGAGGTAATTCAATATCATTTTTAAAAATACACTTGGATCAATACCTGCTACCATAAACATTAGTTAACCCAAAATAATTTGTAATACTAAATGTGACCTCTAAAAGTATAAGAAGTTGAAAGGACAATATTAGAGATAACTTTTGTGACACCTAGTTGCACAAAGACTTCTTAAACATGCCATTAAAATCAAGACTGATAATAGAATTGTTATTAATTTTACTGCCTAAAACCTGACAAATTCTGCAGTTCAAATACTTTCAAAAGGAAACAGTGTCACAGATGGAGCAAAATATGGGCAAAAAACAAGCCCATAAAGGACTTGTTTCAAGACCAGAATCAGCTGTCATTAGGATCAACTCAAAATGAGCAGAAGAGTATAAGAAATGCTGGAATATTGAGTATTGTGATGGTCTCATGACTGTAGATATCTGTCAAAGCTCATAGGAGAACAGGCTAAAAACAATGAATTGCACATTGTAGAAATCATATACTACTTTATTTTTTTATTTTGAAGAGAAAAGGACAAAAACAAAATTACAAAACCAAAACAACACAAAAACTGCAACAATGATACAGAATTTCAAAACAAGATGATAGGAAATCACCAATGGTTGTTGTCATTTCAAATCTTACGAAGTGATCTTGTGAATACTAGCAGAGACAAATACTCCCAGAGACAAGGGTAAAAGTGGTAGACACTTTATCTGTATTTGAATGTAGTACAAGATACGGAATCATTCAGTTTATATTTCTTCAGGGGTAAATTTTTCTTGATTAAACTATTGGGATCTGAGTCATAAGTCTGAGCATGGACTATGCACCTTCAGAGATGCCAGAACTGTAATACCTGTCTAAAACGGAAATTACAGAAACAACCTCTGGGGGAAATATAGTAATTGAACAACATGAGGTAAAAAACCAAAGGAAAATTCAGTCTGGGAAGAAATTGAATAAAATTTTCTTGTTAAAATCATGACCTGTAGGCTTAAGGAAGTATAATGGCAGATGGGTATGGATGAAATACGTATACAACTATTATATCCGTGCATGAAAAACCACATTGAATCCCAATATTTTGCTAAATTAATAGGTATATTTATTAAAAAACCCATGCCTTACACAGAAGATGAATTTATAGAGTGTACGGTTTAGATTATGCCTTTTCAGTTGGCGCCTGAATTAACAATCAGAGATGAGGAAAAGTTATTTAAAAGAAAACATCAAAAACTTGACTCAAAAGCAGATAAGATTTGGTTTCCCTGTAATTAAAAATTTGGGTGCCTTACATAGTTTCAAACAAAGCAATTGTTATGATACATATTAGAACAAGTATATGGAAAGAGAAAACAGTTGTGAGATTATTCAATGTGTCTCTAAGTGTTCATGAAGTATTCAACAAAATAGACAAAACGTGTGGCATAACACACATAGTTATATACCTCAACTGTCTTAAATCATACAGATTATATTTATGACAATAAGAAATTTGACTAGAAATAGTTGGCACAAACTGTAACTAAATTTTCCCCAATTATGTGCTAATTTAGTAAGTTATGTGAATTTGAAACACGATAACTGTCAATCTCACCTGGAATATATTCTACAAACACAATTTCAAAGAAATATTCAACTGATTTGAGAGGTCATATTTTAGTACTAGTTTTAGGATTATTTTCTGTTCCTTGAATTTCTCAATTCTTTTGAGATATGATTGCCTAAAAAAGAATCACGTGTACTTAAGGCATAGAACCTGTTTTCATATATGTATACAATATCATATTATCACCATAATTAGGCTCACTAATTGAATTCCTACCCTCTTGTTTAGTGAAACTCTGTATTATCTCTAATGTTTTATCTAATAATTATTTTCTTATTCTCTTTAATGGTTTGAACAATCTTCCATTCTTACATCTGGCAATGTAGTTGAGGATATTGATATATAATATAACAACCACTATTAATTCATATTATTTTGTCTTGAAATCCTGTTGTTTTCAAGATTTAGCTATGAAAAATCCACTTTAAATGCTCTTACTTTGGTTTGTTTATGTTTGTGATACTGATATACTGCTATTGTTCTAGTTTTTGTTTGTGTCTCATTTACTACTCTCTTTAAAATAAAAAAAGTCAACGTTTTATTTCTCTGTTTTATTTTTGTGGTTAAAATATTCAGTCACTTTAGTATATTTCAAGTACGGAATATAGTTCTTTTTCACAAATATCAGATATAATAATACAATCATCTTCACTGTAGCTTCCATCCTATACACTGGAATGCAGAAATCATTTGTCTTTTGTATGCAAACAGTTCAGCGTGTACCAATAACATAGCAGTACAATTTGTCATAGGTAAATCTTGAAAACAACCCAGATGCCCATCAACCAAAGAATGGATAAAAAACACATGGTATTCTTATACAATGGAGTACTACTCAATTATACAGAAAGGTAAAGTTGAGGCTTTTATAGCTAAATGGTTGCAATTTGAGATCATACTCATAAGTGAAATAAGTCAGACTCACATGTGTAGACATTATATTGTCTCTCTAGTGTA